TCTTAGCGATAAGGTCGCCCATTGTTTTCTCATTGTGATTATTTCTTGTAATTATTTATATTTATAATAAGTTTACTATTGTAATCTTTTGGAGGAAACAATAAAGAGTATCTATCTATCTATATCGAATATATGTCTATAGTCGAAGATATTTGTATGGGCGTTTAGACATTTCATTCTTAAAAGCAATTTAAATAAAATCAATACACACAGGGACATAAGTTTTTTTTAATGGATGATAATGGAATAGTAACCCCGCCCGCACTATCGATATACATTGGCGGGGCAACAGTAAAGGATGATATGTGAAAATGAAGCCCATCGTGACGAATTCAACAAGAATTGTTCCCGATGGTTTTCAGGGGAGGTCGACCTGATAGGGTATATTGCTAGCAACGGGGCTGTCAGACTCCATTGCTAACAACCCTATTTCCCTCCCGGACATAGGTTGATCATGATAGGTTGCATGATGGATACACATAGGTTATTTGTTATATACTTCACGCAAACAAGTCCACGGGGCACAGCTAGTGCTAAAATAATCCTGTTATTTAACTTCAACCAATTCAAGTCAAGAGTAAACAATAAGGCGTGAACTTGACCGTCAAGAAACAACAAACAAAATTATAGAGAGACAGAGAGTAAATGGAAAGTCCTTCGCTCCGGATCTCCTAAACAAATAATAATATTCTCGTTAAATAATTTCACTAAGTATTTAAACTGTAACACTGTTTAAATGTACATTTATTTGTATAATTTGAATACAGAAGTATAATTAATTTATTTATTTATTCTTTATTGCACAATGAAACTATGTACAAGTGGCGAGCTTAATGCCATATTGGCATTGGCATTCTCTACCAGCTGACCATTAGGTAATAACAGAAAACGCATGAAAGGCAGATGTGGTGGAAAATATGTAACATAATTATAGCAACGTACCGAATTTATGCAAATTACGAAATTTTTTTTTTTGTTAAAAAAGTAATAAAATATTCTGTGCTGTCATTGATGCGATTGATTAATGAATTGGTTTAAGTCGATGTTTCTCGCAGTTTCCTAAACATAAAACATAAATAATATACAATGGCGAGTATTCACTATATACGAATGTTAATTAATGTTATAAAATTGAAAATTTATAAAGAATTTTTTTTTACAACACAGGGGGAAAACGAGCATGCGGCTCACCTGATGGTAAGTGACTACCGCCGCCCATGGTCACCCACAACACCTACGGCATTGTAGGTGTGCTACCGGCCTTTTAAAAAGGAATATGCTCTTTTCTTGAAGGTTATATTGTCGTATCGGTTCGGAAATACTGCTGCTGGAAGTTGATTCCAAAGAGTAGTTGTGCGTGGGAGAAAGTGCCTTGAAAAACGCACGGTGGAGGACCGCCACTCGTCCAGATGGTTGGGATGAAATTTTAGTTTATGGCGGGTTGTACGGTGGTGAAAATCAATAGCAGGTATCAGATATTAGGCAGATATTTGGACATTTATTACATAGAATTAAACAGGTGAGTGGATTGTACCAAAATTTCATAAAATCTCTGTTTGTACTGTAACTTCTTGATAAAAATAAAAACAGTGGAACAAAATACTAGTATTATGAGTAATATCATATAATAGCAATTTTGATAAATAACACACAGTATGTTTATATTGAAATTACAAAACCAAAGTAGAGGACGCAGCTAATAGGAAATATATCGTTAATTTTCAGTATAAACTTTGGGAAATTTTGGAACAGGTGATCCAAATATCTACACGCAGTAGTCTTTGGGGGAAAAGCGCACAGAGAAGTAATAAATTAAAGCCGCCCAAACTGTACGTGCATCCCCCGCAGGCTGCGAGGTAGAAAATGTTAATAGGACCTATTGACTAAGTTATTTTGATTGCAGACAGTTTGATTAAGATTCCACGAGGATTTTAAATTGCCTAAGTTTTGTTCACATCAAAACTTCACTCGGAACAATAAATATGCAATGAGTATTTTGTACCGACTTCAAAATAGAAGGTTTTCGATTCAATTGTATTTTGTTTATGTTTGTTACTTCCTAACTGCGTCATTTTTAAACGGATTTGGAAAATTCTTTTTTTTTTTATCTGAAAGTTAATACTTTCAGATTCTATTCCAGATTCCGGTGCTATAGAAATTTTAGACAAAATCGAAAAAACAGTTTGGTTTTTAAACAAAAATAACTGGTATCTGCATTATTGAAGTCGGTTTTTATCCTTACCACACCTTTGATGTAACAGCTTTATACTGTGACAATACTTAATAGTTGCAGCTAGTATTTATACCAACTTATGAAATACCTACCCTGTAAGTTTGCTCTGTTATAAATTCAAGATACAGGTCGTTTTTTTGTTTAATTTCATTTGAATCTGTTCTAACGTTTATGCATATTTGAGTGATAGACAAGTAATAAAAATCCAAATTATCTTTCTTGTATATAGTACTACTTAACCACCCTGGCTTCTGTAACGGTTCGTCATAGGGGGGAAAGGGATTGTTTTGAATGGAGATTGACATCTCTGTTGATAGCAATATACCCTATCAGGTCGACCTCCACGTGGTTACCCCTGGAAACCATCGTGAACAATTCTTGTTGAATTCGTCACGATGGGCTAACTGACTTGCTTCATCCTCATCTATCATCCCTCACTGGTGCCCCGCCGGTGTATACCGATAGCGCAGGTGGGGTTACCATTCCATTATCACCCATTAAAAAAAATGGTTCGTTATATGTGTAAAAAAATACAGTTAACGCCATCTTGTGGAGAGGTGTTGAACTTGCAATAAATTGAAATAGTAAATTAATATTTTAATGTTTACAAAATATTTATAAAGCTAGAAAACGATCTAACAAAATTAATACTATATGAACATTCATTTAATATTAATTTATGATGTTTGATATTGATGCATTGTTAAATCGATGTTCAAAATTGTACGTCATAACGGATTTGAATTAATAAAACTACTTTTTTCTTATGAAAATCATTAATGTTACAATATTTATGAATTAGAACATTTAATAAATTTTGAGGAGGCCTTAGTGAACTTATAGGCATACAATAAGCACTTACAATTAATTATTTCTCTGTCGAATTTTACAGAAGAGTAGGAAGTTGGAAACATATTCTACATTTTAACGTGAAGAGGACGCTTTGCATATACAAATTAATAGAAATCCATTGATTATAGGATATTATTTTATGATAAAAGTTTGTAATAAAATAAAAAAGCATTATTGTGAACGTGTGATTATTTAACTTCAAAAAGAAAAATCTATTTAATCGGACACTAAATTTACTACCACAGATAAACTATGAATTGAATGATATTTTATGTATGTAGGCGGGAAGAATTTAAATTTATTTCCTGACTAGGTAAAGTAATGAAAGAAAGTGTACGATTATATGTCCATTAGTTTCATTAGTAACGAATGTTATCGTAGATTAGTTATTTATACTAATATAAACTACTAGTATATAATAGTACTATATAATACTATAGATCTAATATGATTAGATCAGTTGGCCTATCATAACAAGTTCACCGTGATAGTTTCCAGGGAACATCGCGTGGAAGTCAACCTTATACCGTGCACCTGGCAGGAGAAAGGAGATTGTTACTGATAACGGTATACCATCGGTAACGGTATTAATCCATGATACAGGCTTCACTTATTTGCAAACATACATACAAGCAGTATAGTCAGCTAAAATTGTATCCCTTTCTTGTCTGGCGTTGCTGTACTTAAGTAAAAAAAAATTGTATATGATAAATATTTACGTCAAGATTTTGTTTTACTAATAGAAGTTGGGGGGAAAGGGATTGTTACTAATGGAGACTGAGAATCACATTGCTAGCAATATACCCAACCAGGTCGACCTCCTCGCGGTTCCCCCTGGCAACTATCATGGTTATTTCCTGATGAATTCATCATGATGGGCTAACTGGCCTGTTTTCATTCTCATCGATCACCCTTCACTGGTGCTCCGCCAGCGTATCCCGTTAGCGCAGGCGGGGTTACCATACCATTTTCACCCATTAAAAAAAAAAACTAATAGAAGTTATTCAAGTAAATTTTGTGTAAAATTAAAACAAGAGCTCTTGTTGCTAAACCTTTTTTTATTCAAATCACATCATAAAATACAGTATGGAATTGCCAATAAACAACAATGTGTAGGTACGTTGCTTTGTGTAAATGTACAGGGAACAATCCTTAATAGGACAGATTCAAACTATTCTACAATTGCTCGGGTTTGCGTAGACTGAGTGTGAGTGGTCGTGTCTCTCTGACTGTACTCAATTGAATAAAGTTAGCAACTGTATGTGCTGTGTCGTTAAATTCATGGAAGACAAACGGAAGTGAACCCATATATATTATAAGATATCTTTCACCATACCAAATATTGCGTGTTGTATATGCTACATTTTATGACGATTATTAGCAGTAAAATGCTAGAAATAATAAATTTAGTCGGACATTTTTGAATTAGGAAGGGTTCCAACTAACTGCTCACTGCAGCTTCGTCCACCCAGAACTCTTTCATTTACGTTAAGTTTTTATCAATTTCAATGGAAATTTGGAACGAAAACCATTATGGTTACGTTTCTACTCAAGCGGTTATAAATGTCCATCAATAGATCCGTCACTCAGCATAATTTTTTCAATCAACCTCAAGAAACTTTCTCCTTCCACAGAAGAAGAAGGATTTTTCCAAAAACAATAAAACTCTATATAAAACTTAATAGAAATTATGAAAATTTATGTTAGAAATTACTTTGTTTTTTTTTTTATTATAAGAATATAAATATTTGTTTGTTACGTATTATCTATAGGTGTGCATATCAGCATGCTACACAAAAATGTTATTTAAGTTGTGTATAATATGTATACTGTTGGTGTGCCTAATTCGAAATAAATAAATAAAATAAATAAATAATATATTTTTTTATCATTTCAACGGGTTATGTGACCAGTATCAGTTAATATTATCCTCTAGAAGGAAGTCTGCGAGCCTCTCGCCAAACGCGATGACAGCGGCGGCGACGATGCCGCGCGGCAGCCGCGGCAGTGCGCTCGCATCGGCCACGCGCAGTCGCGCCACCCCGCGCACGCGCAGCCGTGCGTCCAGCACGCGGCCCAGCGCGCTCGTGCCCACTGTGTTGTATGTGGTGGCTGTCAAATGGCGCGCGTAACAGCGCCAGTACTCGTCTGAATCCTGCTGCTGGCCGCCGCTAAGGCAGTCCTTCAGTTCCAATCGCACCAGCGACGCGCCCGCAGCCTTGAACACCGGCGTCTCTATCAACTGCTCAATAATCCGAATGCCGCGCACCATCTCATCCAAGTCACGATCATCAGACAGATAATTAGGGAAAATGGCAGGTGCTTGAAGCGGATCCACGCTTGCCAAACGAATCGTTCCGCTAGACTTCGGCTGCAATGGTACTGTCGCCATCGTTATAAGAGAATAATTTTTAATAACCTCAGTTAATTGATTAACTATAGAGTCACCCAATCCCAGATATCTGAAGATGACTCCTTTGACTATAGGCGTACCACTACCTGTATACAAATGATAGAACTGTGTTGTTGGCAACTCACACTCCGTACTGTTTCTCGTAAGTTGTCGATTAACAAAATCATAACACAATGTGTTTACAAAAGTAGCTATATCAGTGATGCCGATGGAACCACTTGGAGATACCAACATACCCGATTCAGAGCTATTTAACGCCACTTTGATAAAAATTGACACCATCGATTGATCTTTCATATAGTTGCCTACTGGCAGATCTACGCGAACTGGAATACCCATTTCATTTAAATGATTAGCAGGACCAATGCCCGACAACATAAGTAGTTGTGGAGTGACGAGAGCCCCCGCGCTCAATATAACTTCTTGCGACGCATATAGTCGTAATGTAGCATTAGAAGATCCATGAACGACTGTAATGCCACGAGCCACATTGTCATCGTCTATGATAACTCCTGTGCACCTGGTGTACTTGGCCACTTTTAGTTTCCTCTTTACATCATCTCTTCCGAGATATCCTCGTGCAGTACTCATGCGCTTATTTTTATATGTATATCCAATAATTCGAGAAGCTCCAACTTGAGATACCCCGTTAACATCAGGATTACGAGGGATATTGAGAGCTTCGTACCCATCAATGATTCTCGAATGCCACGGATTTTTAGAGTCTTCGAAGAATCCTATCTTCATAGTACCTGTGGTATTATGATATGGTTTGGAAGATGGGGGCAGAAGATCCAAATCTTGCAAGCCTTCGTAACGTAAAAAATAAGGCTCCATATGTTTCCAGGACCAGCCCGTGATGTTCAGCTCATCGAAGTCGCGTCGATTACCGCGGATGTACATCATAAAGTTGATGCTGGTGCTACCGCCGAGACCCTTGCCGCGGCGGGTTTGGCATGCTCTGTTCCGTGACAACAGACACGACACATTGTTAGAAATTGTTTCATATCGATAGTTCATGGCCGGGTTCGCTGGCGTCACAAATGAAGCTGGTACCTGTAATAAATAGTAATTATTTGGTATATCTACTAGCTTCTGTGAGCGTGCGTGCGTGCGTGCGTGCGTGCTTTCGGGCGTGCGAAAATAATTAATATAATAGTAAGGGACAGGTCAGCAAAAACTGAAATAGTGAATTCAGACTATTATTCTGAACCGAAAGTAAAGTCGGAATAACCGAAAGGTAATTCTTTACGGATAAATTTCTTCCCTTATTTTTCTCATTCAAAATCATGTAATCTATGATATTGTGTCATAATATAAAGAAAAATTAATATTTTATAGTGACATACTATGAAATATACAAAAAAACAGTAACAGCAAACGTACCACGCGTCGTATGGATGGTAAAATTTCAAATACATTGTGCGGCGTCAAAACTAAGAATCGTTAATTATATGGCTGTGGTTCATTTTCGATGAGAAAATAATCTGCTATTTGATTCAGACCATTCATCTGGATCGGTTGTTTTTGTTTCGGCCAACCTATTCCTTACACCCTGTATATATTTGTTTGTATAGCACACATACATCCGAATAAAATGGCGAAGGAAAATAAAGGGAGAGAACACAGGAAAATAGTACTAAAGGGAGAGTTAATAGGATTTAACCGAGATTTTGAAGCTAGTGAAAGTTTGAGCGCATCGAACAGAGGCAATTAGTAAGTTCCATAGGCGAATTGCTTAGACAGTAAAGGATTTAGAATAAAAGAAAAAAGAATGAGCGGGAAGTTTAAGGCGGACGTTATTGACACTGCGTATAGTATGTTCATTAGCCTCACTGAGAAACATAAATCGGTCTTTTAGATAATCAGAAGCAACGAGTTTAAAAAGGATTGCATAAAAGAATCAAAAAGAAGAAGAGACAGGAGTCGCTGATATTGTAGCTTTATAGATGAAATTATTTTTAATGTCAGTTGAGTAGTTTTTGAAATTATCCAATATAAACAAAGAATTAAATCTTTCCTCTTTGTAATATTAGTATAGATTACATAACATACCCAGGATGTGGGGTCCGGGTCTCCGCCCGCCTCCACGAGCAGCACGCTGGCGCCGGCGAGCGCGAGCCGGGCGGCGACCGGCGCGCCCGCCGCGCCCGCGCCCACCACTATGTACTCGAACTCCTCGCCATCTGTACCGCCAAAACAGAGCGAGGGCATTACGAAGTTGATGATGGATAATGTTCACACCGAAACTGGGCCCGGTGATGTTTCGTTTATTATAAACCGTACTGTGAAGTATCCGGACAAGCAAAGTTGAACAATATGCGAATTTCTTTGATCTGATGGCACTGAGGATATCTGTCGGACATATCGCCATCCCAGAGAGTCACTCGAACATGTGCTCTCGGATTGTTCAGCTCTTGCCAACAGTGAGTTGGCAAGAATATAGCCACAACCAGGAAGTCGAAATACTCCATCAAGACTTGACTCGTATGACTTCATGAATGAGAGGCTGCCGTATTATAAATAGGAGCCTCAGCCGGTCCTTGTTGAGATTCAGAAGCGGTGCACTTCTGGGAAAAATGCAGAAGGCGGTGTTTTTTTATACTGCCCGCATAGAACGTCGGTTTCTCTTCCTGAGCTCCTGAGTTCCCACCAACTGTGTTTCTGCCGTAGGTAAATATATTGACTCGATGGAGTCAATATATTAATATAGCCTTAATTATAAATTCACTTAAAATGTTATATAAAAGTAAATTGTTTTTTTAATATTCAATAGAATATGTTAACTCCGGAGTTGTTCTGCTTACCTAGAACTCTATGAGAAATTAGATGGGTAATATGAATGTATCCGTTATGTAGGTCTTCTGGGTATTTATTGTGGAAAAAAGGTTATCAGCCATTTCGATATCGCCCATACCGGTCGGATATCTATTTTCGAATATGTTAAAAGCTTAGATTATATAGATAGTGCCTCCATAGAAATACATCGAGAAAAACTGATCAACTTTTTCTTACAACTTTGCGTGGTTAATAGTTGTGAGTGAATCCTTTATAAATACTATATTTAATTTGTCTTATAAAGTCTGCATCTTTTTAATGCATTTATACTCATTTTATTTATTAAATTATACGTCAAAATACATTTTATTCGTAAGTATATATAATTCTAATAAAAAAACGATAATTTGAGAATTAGCTGATAAATAGTTGACCCGTTTTTGAGGCTCGATGCTCTCTCTACCTATATAATCTAAGGTAAAAGTCTGTAATCCAATATTATTTTTGGATAACAGACTTTTAACATATTCGTTATTGGACCAATATATAAATATTGTAACTAAAATATATAGATATTACCATATGTTACCCACCGGTAATGGATACTACTAACATTCTGATACGGCACGCAAGTGATCCTATATAAATATTAGACTCAGTTTTAGTGTTCTCTCGTGTTGAAAGAAATGTACAAAATAGGAACTTTTGTACTGGAATGTATAATATCATGTAACAATTACGTTTTGTTTTTAACTTACAGATGAATTACTTTCATAAAATCCATACTTAAACAATTTTATCTTTCTAAAAAAAATTGTAGATATACGAGAAACTTTAGCGATAGGGCCGCCCGTTGTATTCGCGCCGTCATGGTTAAGCCAGCCATCATTGCGCTCAACCATATTTTAGGAAACTTAATAACCACGCCACTACCTGTCTGGACAGCAAATTAATCCCCGGCAAAAGCTGGCGTTTAGGGCCCCAGGGAGAGAAACCGGCGTGTTATACAGGCAGTATTCAAAAGCACTGCTTATGTATCTTTCCCATGAAGTTAGCTGCTTTGGAATCCCAATCGTCAGAGGTATTGTTTCAGACCGCTTGGGATAAGACCGTGCACCGACAGAACGATTGGAATGATTTCGGTGCATGTAACCCCTCTACATTTCGGTCACCTTGTGAGCCAAGTCGAGATACATTCTCTTCTTCCCGGTTTTAGCTTTCATGAGGTTCTCTTTATGCGGCATGGTGATATCCACCAAAAAAACCCTCGAGAGTGCTCGATCCATCAATATGGTACTATTTATAATTACATTTAATTTTAATTCCTTTAGGTAACTTCTTGACATTTTAAATATGTCTGGATGCAAGACAGTCTAAGATAGGTCAAACACTGACATTGCTTGCATGCACTGGCAATGCTTGCTATTACCTGTAAGGGTCACTCCAACAGGCATTGAGAAGCTCGGCAGGAGAGCTCTCGCAAACTGGGTGGTGCCAAGAACCGACAACAGTAGTAACACCAACCTGACGGTAACAAACAAAAAATATTATCTTACATTTCACTTACTTTTTGTTGTATTGTTATCGGTTTTATCATAACAATAAAATCAATAATGGTTTTAAATAATCAGTTTTAGAAATCTACATCATGACCTACGAATAAATATTTTTCAGCGAGAACACTTGCGTCAGAGAAGAAATCCACGACTTCAGTTGGTGTCTGAATGGGGTGATACTAAAACTTTATTACTACCAAGACATAGTTATGTCTCTTTACTTTCAACTTGATAAACATTTTACGTAATATATTTTTTCCAATTTCTAGGTAAATTTATCATCTATTCTTAACTTCGAGCGATATATCGAGTCCAGAGTAAAATTGCATCGGAAAAAATTAAATGTCCTTCAAGTGTCATGAAATACCTTACACCTAGATAGTTCTTAACACATTACCAAGCACAAGTAGAACAACGCGTGGAGTGTGTAAATTATTGTGTTGAATCCGTTCACTAGCAGCGCAGGACTCTATATTGACAATCGTACAAAAGTAATCGTTTAATATTAGTTATTTGTATCTGAAGATCCTCAGTCTTGGTCATCACCGTATGATAATGTGTTTGTCGATGTTCTTCGGGTTGTAATTTTTTTATTTTGTCTTATCCATGTTAGTAAATGAGCAGTCATGACGGTCTTGCATCGATAACCTGTCCCATTCAATATTTTAAATTGGCAATTGTCTCCAAGACACTGTTTGAACTAACACGCACCCTATTCAACGTAACATATATACATATATATGCACTGATTGAGACACCCTATTCATAAAACATAACATGTATATATGCACTAGTAGATAATCCAAACGTCTCAATATAATTAAATCTCCAACACAAACATAAAAATTGAAATTATCCATTTGAGAATTATATCTATGTCCCAAATCAAAATCAATTACAAACATTCCAGTAAATATAGAAATACAATAGCAATAATGCTGCCGAAAACACATATTAATATATAAAACCTTGATTCTAAATATTGCAATTATTCTTTTCTGTAACATTTTATTATATTCATAAAATAAACACTCAAACACGCAAATCAAGACAATACACGGGCGAAGATAGACATTTCAACTATTACTTATAATTAGAACTGAACTTGTATCCGCACCGCGCACCATAATGGAGCAGTTCTACACCCAAATATAGGCATATTTTTTTTCCTCTGGCTATTTTCTTTGCAGATTGTAAAAGGTTTAAGGATGTAAAAGGTTGATTGTACGAACTTGGAAATTTTTTTCTAACTTAATCACTATATGGATCGGATAGTTTGTTCATTTAGCTTTAATTTACTCTTTGACAAAAATGTTTAAATTTATAGATTTTTTTTTTAAATTAAAAAAAAATTATGAACAATTTTGTATTTTTTGAATGACTCCAAAAATTTAAAAGAAAAATATTTGCTATTTTTAACGCGATTCTGTTATTGCATTCCATGATTTTCCTGATTTTTAAACTTCAGCTGAATTAAAATTTTTATTAAATTTAAAATAAAATTGATATACACAATCGAATTTCACACTCGATCTACACTATTTCCAGAAATTGCTTATCATTAATTTTCGTGAACTCTTAGAACACTTAAAAACAGTTTTTTTCAAAATTACTCTTTCTGAATTTATTCAAAAGTTCAAAACCCTCCTTAATTTTTTTATGCGATCAGCAGTTACTGAGATATTG